GTGTTTCCTCTATACGCAAACATAGTGAAGAAACAGGACATCAACCTATACTATCAAATTTCTCTATCCTCTGCAAGCACTTAATCTTAACTATCCAATTCATTTAGAAAAACTAACACAGATATTTTTTTGAATATATTTATATATATATATATTATTTTTTTTTTTTCAGTTTCATATATTTACAATAGAAACAAAATTGTGGAGTAATATCATTACATAAACTATAATGATATCATTTGTAAGTATATGTATTAAGCATTGGAAGATAATTATCTTTTTAGATATATTAGATGCTGGAACATAAAACTGTGGAGTAACATCATTACACAAACTATAATGATATCATTTGTAAGCATATGTACTAAGCATTGGAAGATAATTATTTTTTTTTAGATATATTAGATGCTGGAACATAAATGTGACTATTTACAGACTTCACATGTAATCTAAATCTGTGAATTAGCATATTTACCATGCTAAATGATATTCTATTTGTATGTACATAACAGTTTTTGTAGTACTCACTTAGATGTCTTTTACATATCTTTTATTTGAATAAAAGTCAGATTACTTCCATTTCTAGGAAAAATGCCAATAGTTTTCACTAAAAGTTATGTTGAAAGAATTAATGCACAGATTATATTATTTTTAGTTGATCTCCTTTTGATCAACAGCTAGATACTTACACTGCTTTGTAATGTTGAATTTTCTTGTTCTGCTTTTTTCAGTTTAAATTTATAGTCACTGACTTGTTTATTTGCTTCTCCTGGTTATAGAAAAAAATACATATATTCCTTTAGAAAACACCCAACTGTATTTGTGTTAATAGTAAGATGGCCTGAAACATTTGCCAATAAAAATAACATACTTTGTACATTGTATTAGATTATTATGCACACATAACAATGTTGCTTATATTATTATTATAGCAAATCAGAATATAATTTCATAAAATGAAAGAATTCTGCAGCAGTTATTTTTATTATAGCTATGAAATTTACATAGTGCAGTAAGATATAAAAAAGTAAACAAACACCTTTTACACAAAGTAATTATGGACCTACTTGTTCGCTTTAAATGTGAACACAATGACAAATGTGTTTCCAAGCTTGGTGCTATAAACAGCAAACAATGTGCTTTTCAGTTACATTACAGTTTAAATTTCCAGAAAAAGATAGTAATTTCACTGTATTATGACAAACATTTAACAAGAATATATGTAGGTGACTTCTTAGGGTAGATAATCTCAATAACATAGGACCATTGATGTCTTTTGCTATGACATTATTCAGGTTTTACCAATATAAAAACAACCTCCAATATTAAAACATTATTTGTTATATCCAACTATGCTCATATATTACTGGTGTGTTGTGTTAATTGTTTATAATTTGTATAAAGGCAAAAAAGTCTGTATTGCTGAAAAGCACCTTATAACACTATAACATATAGATGAATGTTGTAGTTTGGTACATCATACTAGAAGTCAATAATGAAAACATAAGCACAGTTTAAATTTAGCATGAAATGAATTTGTAAGAAGATCAGTTTTTCAGCCTTCCCATAATGCTAACCTTTAGATAATGTTTTTGAGAACCAAATAAAGTTCAAAATTATAAAACCATGTCTCATATGAATTTAGTAAATCTGTACACTTTCTATTCTAGGTCTATACAAATACAAAACAACTACAATTTTAATAATCTAAATCAAAATGTTTGTAAAGTGTGGCAAACAATCTAAAATGTTTTATTTAGCTGCATATTAAAAACAGAGTAAAATCCAAACTCAACAAGAGTTAAAAAAAGAGTTTGACTTAACATGCATTAACTCATTTATTCTCTTTTGGAATGATCAGTTACAAAAAATCAATAGTTTTGGACAAATGTTTACTGTGCTTTGATAGATTTATCTTGCACTTTATTGTATAACATGTACATATGATTTTCTAGTCAGCAATAAACAAATGAAAATCCCTTGGTCAAATACAAGAAATACTAAAACTTAGAAGGAAAGCAATGCCCACAGTTACTCCCAAGTGCAAACAAATGAAGGTTTGTATACTAAGAATAAACTGCTGTTAAAGTAAACACAGTATATTTCTAGAATCTAATATAACACACTTTTTTATTTTGTTTGTCTACACAGAACTGCAACTGTCCAAGTTTAATCTACAAAGATTTTTTCACATACATTCAAGTACATCTCAGTGTTCTGTTTACACAGTTGCTTCAAGATGGCTGCCAAACAATTACCTTTCTAACAAATGCTAGTATGTAAACTTTTCTTTTGTATTGGAAAAAAATTAAATAATTCCATACTAGAACTTTCGAACAGTATAAATTTTTTTGGCACATTGGTTCACCTCTTGTACGGAAATCTTCATTGAAAATGAGATCCCCCGATTTGTTTTAAGACCTTAGTGAAAGTCCTTTGCTAAGTAATTTGTGTACAGAAGACCTGTTTTAAGTGCTTAGCTAGTCAATATAAACTGGTAGAATGTACTAAAACCATGTTTACTTGAGTCTCAGTTGTAAGTGCAAGGTTGAAAGGTATGATCTTTGCATGAAATGCATACATTATGAATGCAGTAATAATGAAATTCCTATCAAGTTAAAGAGGTCAAAATGAGATTATCCCACAGCCAGATTAAGACAACTATGAGCAATGGGCAAAGGTTAAGAGAAGGCCCTCATATACAAATGAGAATGAGACTATTGTAGGTCATAGTCCCTGCATCGTATTATCCATTACATGAAAAAGAAAGATAAAAAAAACTGAATTTAATTTTATTTGCTTAACATTTAGATTCTATTCCGGATTAATCAAGTAAGTGCAACGTGTGCACTGACAAAGTAAACATTAGTTATTTAAATTATGTAACAAATTAAAAAGTTTAAATGAGAGCAAATCCTTCATGTAGATTAACCTTAGACATGGGCCCCCTATATAGCCTCAGGCCATGGACAAATGCCCAATTTTACTCTGCAGTAATCTGCTACTGTATCACCCAATCATTAAAATCAAGAGAGCACAAGAAAAATTGTCAAGCAGGAAGAATAATAAAAATAAAATACTCTTTCTTAATGTAACTACTGTCATTGTCTTATATCATTCAGTGGTTAACAAACTTATATATGACTGATAAGACCTTAACCAATGAAAGTCATAAAAAATAGTGTGTCCTAGATGTCATAACATGTTGAAAAACTATTCTTGTATTGAAAACTGAGGTCAAAATGGAATGGATCTGAGAAGAAGTAACCTTGTATTGAGAAGAGTTTTCATCAATACTAAAACAATATTTTAACAAAAGTTTTGAAGGAAGATATTGAACCCTAAACTTATGCAAAGTTCTATATAAGAAATTAGCCTAGTGGTTTTTCTCTTGTTTAAACTTATCAACAAAACATGGACATTTCCATATGAGTGACTCAAAGTTTTAAGATAGTTGACAAAATACATGTAACCAACTAGTACATATTTAAGTTAATGGCAGCATTAGATTACTAACTTTGAACTTCTAGAAGTTTCATTTCAGGGCCATTGGACTGGGGGCCATGCACTAGTGTTAACTGTTCCATTTTGGCAGTCTTCTGTTTTTCTTCTTCCAACTCAAATTTTAACCTATGAATCTAAAGAAAAATACAAGACTGTTTAATTTCAGATACTAATTATTAAGTTTTATTAAACAAGAAGTAACTTGTTTCATAAGTTGTAAAAATAAACAAGTTAAGAATGAGAAAGTGAAAGCCACATAAAAAAAAACAAAAAAAACTGGCAAATAGGAATTTCATATTCTATAGATACCCATGTTCTTTCATTTTCAGTTAGCTAAAATGTATAAACTAGTAATGAACACATCTACAATTTCACTTTTATAAAACCGTTTCTAAAGAAAATTGACTCAAAGTCATGACAAAGAGAAGACACTGAAAACAGAATGAAAATGATCTATACATTAACTTCATATAAGGTGTATTGTAAACTAAGAATCTGAAGTAATTGTTTAGAGGACTTTCTAATCCATAATAATAAAGGAAGAACAAATTCTCCTCTTAAGATTAAAGTGTAAATGTGACTCAAAAGATGGGCCAAATAAAAATGTCTTCAAAAAATTAAAGGCCTTTTCACCAGAGTCTGAAGAACCTCATGTGTATACAATAAAGACAAAAGAATTGGGAAACTGTATCCACAGTCAGAAACTTTACAAGTTAGTTGAACTTAGGAAATTAACAGAACAATTCTCGTTATATAGGTTCTTGAGTAAATACTGTGTTTGAAAACATCGTGGCCAGATTTTGGATTTCAAAACTATATTATCTGCATCATACATTTTTTAACACCCACAAATTTTTTTTTTTTAATATCGTGCAAAGCTACACGAGCGTTATCTGCACTAGCTATCCCTAATTTAGCAGTGTAAGACTAGAGGGAAAGCAGCTAGTCATAACCATCCACCGCCAACTCTTGGGCTACTCTTTTACCAACAAATAGTGGGATTGACCATCACATTATAATGCCCCCATGGCTGAAAGGGTAAGCAAGTTTTGTGGGACGGGGATTCGAACCAGCGATCCGCAGATTGCGAGTCAAGCGTCCTAACCACCTGGCCATCACAAAATTTTATTTAATGATAAAATTCATGCTATTTCTGTGTATGATATTTTGTATTATACACTACAAAGGATAAAGGTGTGAAAGTAAGTACAGAAGTTTATATCCATCAATCAGAAAATAAGTTGAGTTGAAGCCATTCACAAACATTTTCCTTTAATTTTATGCACTTGAATTCTCATGCTTAAAGAATTTGCTTAAGTGAGAAAAATTCATTAACCAAACATGCACAGGCTCAATTCTTTGGACTGACCCTGTATTAGAGAAGGAATTTACTGTGTGTATCTGTGTATACAAGTCTGTAGTACACAAAAAAAAATCAAATTTGTTACAAAAGTATTTGCATTTAAGATATCTCTGATTTGAAGACATCAGCCTGCCCCAGACTCTGAATAGTCAGAGTGCATGACAGTGTTCATTTGAAGAATAAAAGTACTTTTGTCCATTGTACAGTTTGCATCTTGCATTACCATAACCTCTAGAACCTCTAAAATGTATATTGTATCTGATATTCACTTTTCTCTACCTTGAACTGTTGCTAAATCAATATTGTAGGGTGAAATGAATAACTGATAACTCTGCCATGAAATGCATAATATCAAGTTGAATGCCACATTGTAAAAGTTTGTGGCACGTGTACTTTGACTCCCAGCCATGCAAACAGGGTTAAATATGAAGTCGAAATAACGATTTACAAAATCCTATACCCCAAATGCTTTCAAAAGGCAGACCTTTCTTCTTATTATTCATTTTCCATTCACCTCTGAAAAATGAAGGCTTAACTTCCAAAAGTGCTTGTTTTCTTTTTTTACTTAATGAGTTACAATGCAACTTCTGTAAACCAGTCACCCATGGAACCATTACATTTGGTTGTTTTTACAGGGGTCAGTGAAAGGTTATCTACACATCAATGATATTTCTAAAGAAATTTTGTACAACTAGCTCTTTAATAAAATTGATTTTGTCATCAAGCATTAATTCTACACAGTAAGACAAACTGTGAAAAAGAAAAAAATTTTAAAAAAGGAAGTAAATGTAGGATGGCTAATATCAATCCTTTAAAAAAATGCAAACAAAATAGTAGGGATGACATTTGCTATTATATAGGGATGATACAAATGCCATCTCTACTATCTTGCTTGCATTATTTTTGAAGGATTGATATTAGCCATCCTACATTCAATTCCTTTTTTTAAAAGTTTTTGCTTTACTTGTTTGGTTTTTTTTTAATGCAGTGTTTCAATAGACATAGGAAGGTTGTATTTATAACCAAGTACTAAATACATTGAGGTTCCAACTATAGTATTTACTGTCTATCTATTATTGGCTGGTAATTCTTGTTTCATCTTGTACTTAAGCTTTTTAAAGGAACAACAAATTTCTGTAAGAAAGCTAACATCAAGGGGGTAATGGTAACATCATTTTCACAAGCATTATGATATATTTTTTACATTACTATTAGTTAATAATACTTATAAAAGCAGATACTCCGTTTCAAACTATGTCACCTCAGTGAAATTGGCTGACACTGTTGTTTTGGTTTTTGAGTTATCATGTAATAAAAAAGCAGCAGCAGAAAAAAGGAGAAATGCAAACTTTTCGCTATGATATTTACAGACATTCACAGAACTTGTGATTCAGTAATTACATAGATATTGTTATAAAAGGAAACATTGTATAGCATTGTCAAGTTTTGTTGACCTATTGAGGAGATATTTAAAATACCAATTCGATGAACAATCTGAGCCATTCCTATATAGGCAGTGCTACCACCTGCCTGACACTCTTCTAAATCTTTTATTACTTTTAAAAACATGCATGCAACAAAAGAGCAAGACCTTAAAAGTTTACAAAGTAATACTATAAAGTTGACAATAGTGGTCATTACCCAGTTCACCTGAACAAAGGTCAGAAATAGAAAAGAAGCCCCAGAAAACAAATTCTTAAAAATTTACTTTAAAATTTTGACACTGTTCTTACAAGACAATTTATATACATATTGAAATATTACATAACTAACAGCAATGTTAAGGGTCAAAATAATCACTTGCTTAGTCATTAACTCTGGAATTAAAGAAAGAGAAGAGTGAAAATATTTCAAACAAAAAATACATAAAATATGACTAAAAAGACAGGTTTAAGAATGACCATGATCATTCACACAACTATAAAACTTACTTCATCTAAAAGCTCTTGTTTTTCCTCTGCAAACCTCTTTAACCGTACATCTGTAAGAACAAATAAACCATATTTTCACATAAATGTTATATTTGAATTTACTGTAAAAGCTTAAGTAAAGTAAAATTTTATTCATCAACACTTAAGTTATTAAGAGTAAATAATACACTCTGTCCAGTTTTTCTTAAAACTTTACACAAGTTAAAAATAACTAGAGAATAACAATTACAGCAATAGAAAGGAACAAAATAATTTCACAATTTTGAAACCTGAGAACAAAGGCATGAGAAGAGTTGCAGACTTGTGTAAGCCATATTGTATTACTTTTGGAATTCTGTCTTCCCAATCCAAGTATTTAAAATATTCCATTTATTATTTTACCCTAAGGTAATTAATATGTATGATTATTGTTAGCATTTTTATTTTTTCTCTTTCATTGGTGTGGGTCACGGCTCAAATGAATCATATTCTATGCACATAGATCTATGTGTGGGAAAGTACAGTAGCATAGCACATAAAATGGATTTATATCATTGTAACCTACAGGTCTGAAAAACAAATAGAACTAAAACCTTGTTATGAAAATAGCTTTAATGCAGCTTAAAGTCCTTTATGTATTTTATTATACTACTAATGAAATAAATCAATTAACAGGCAAAATTCAGCTCTGAATTTTGAAGAATCAAAACCATAATATTATGCACAGAAACACAATTAAACACACAGCAATGTCTTATTTTCATTCACTAAATACATGGTATAAAAACATTCCTTAATGATCCAATTTTTGGATAAGAAAAATTCTAATAAATTGAATGAGACCCATAAGCACAAATTTATAAATTTTCAATAAAATTAGAAATAAAACTTAAATAGGTAAATGCTTAATGATACTTGAGTCAACTTTAGAGAAACTTCACCTACATTTTAATGTGTTTATCTAAGTAAATTCCTATGCTGGTGAAGTTATGTTTAGTTCTCTAGTTAAAACTGAGTATATACCAATAGTTTTTTTACAGTTTAAAAAAGCACTTATTGAAAGATTAAACATCCAATAATAATGCAACCAAACACTTAATTAATCCTTGCAATGCTAAGTAATACTGAGTTAGGTTGTATGTCTACTCTGTGTAGCAATAACATTACTTTTTGAATAGTAAATTAAACCACTAGAATGAAAAGGTGAAAAAGAAGGAAATATGAAAGAATCATAAGTTTGTTTAAACCACTACCTTCACTCAGTCTTAAAATCAAACTCGGCAAGTACTTTAACATTTTCAGAAATGCCAGGTTGGTCCATCAGCTAACATATTCTTAGAATAGCATTTCCATTAACTTCAAATACTTATAGATGGGTGCAAGACACTATCTATGCACATGTTCAATTAAAATAAATTAATCTGACTCATGTAGTGTTTGGGAAGTTTATTTAAAGTAGACAGTTTTAAAAGATGAGAACATTTTTATACACATAATTTACCCTCTATGCTACAGTTATAGTTAATACACCTTAACCCCAGAATGCCAGCGTAAGGCCATTACGACTCCATATCACCTGGTGTTTATAACTGAAAATTTAATGGTGGCATTCTAGGGTTAAATATTTAAAACTCCAAAAACTTCTCCAACTTGATTTTATGGTCTTTACAGAAAATAAAATTCAACTAAAACATTCTTAAGTTTATACTGACTTCAAAAAATTTTAAAAAGGCTAATTCTATACAAACAAGCCATAAAATACCACACAAACATTTAGAAACAAGAGAAAAATACTGTTCAATTTCATATTACCTACCAATTGATAAAAACAAATGATGGTATCAATATCAGAATTTTCAATGTGAGTACAATAAAACATGAACTAATTAGTCAGAAAGGCATATTTGGGGGATAACAAACATTAACAGCATTATTCAATGACTTTTCTGACTATTTTGTAACATGCTAAATTTAAAACAGATTAGATTTCACCCAGCTTTAATAAAAAGGAGGGGGAGTTCAAGATAAAGCTTGAGAACTTTTATTTTCACCAAAGAGCAATGGTGTATTAACAATTATATTGTTTGGTGTAAAACTATTTCAAGTTTCTAACCCAATTTGGCAAGGCTTGTTATTTGTTAGAATTTGGAATGCTCCTTTTCATTCTTGTAAAAATAACATTTCATTTTTAAGTGAAATCTTCATCTATTGATATAGTATGCAAGTCTACCCAATGTTTTCGCAGCCCTGCTGCTTCCCTTTGAATACACACAAAAAAGAATGTCTGAACACAAATAGAATAAGTTAAACGAAGCAGTTCCATATAAATACAAATGCTCTAACATAATTCTTCAATAATATTTTGTGCTTCATTTTAGCCTGGAGTCAATGAAGAGGGAAGACCAGCCCCAAAACCATTTTAAATCAGTGGAGTGAATCAAAACCAAAGATAAATTAGGTAACACAAGATATTTTATTAGAAAACAAATTACATAATGACCGTAATAAATATAAACAATGAGATTGAACTTGAAAAATAAGCCAAATCTAGTTTAACTTCAAAATACAAGTAGTAGTTTCTCAAGTTTATTACCCTTTTCCTAATTACATAAATTTATAAAATACAAACTAGCCACATCATTTAATATATTAACTGAAAGGTATTTTTAAGTACTTACTTATTAATTTTTTATTGTTTAAAGAATCAAAACTTATGATATTATATTTATGTATGTAAGACTGATCTGCATATTTATCTCACAGAACAGATGAAGGATGACTGAACTCAAAAGTTTACCCAATGAACCTTCTCCAGCTTGTTCTAATAACTGGGCAGCTTCCTGGGAAACTAATGCAGCTCTGCCAACAGTTTTAGGAGATGAACTGTCTGGGGTGCTTCTCAAACTATTGCAATCATCATCACCATTCACCATGATTTCTTCTTCTCCAACTAAAACCAGTCCATGTTCCTGTAAATGTCAGACGTTTGCAGTAAAATTGTCTTCTGGAAAAAATATGTTGGTTTCATGTTCTTGCAAATGTTAAATATTTACAGATTTAATTTTCTTAACCCTACAATGCCAGCATGAGGTCACTATGACTCCATACAACTTTGTGTTAATGACTGAAAATTTAACGCTGGATTTCTAGGATTAAGAAAGACTAATTAGTTGTTCCTGTAAGTGCCTAATATTTAAAGTAAATATACTTTCTCTTAAAAAAATGTTCTGCATATTCTTTTAAATGCTTGGTATTCAAAAATGTTTTCTGCAAAAATAATCATGTTACGTGATTTTGTAAATGCCAAGTGTTTACAATAAAATTACTTTCTATACCAACAAGAAGCACTCTATTTTCACTAAAGCTAAGTGTTTAGAGGATATTTGTCTGAAATCACCACTAGTTTCAAATAAAACACTAACAGCTTAAGATTAAAATTTAATTGTTTATTTTCAAAGCAAAGTCACACTGGGCTATCTGCTTGTTCATTGTATTGAATTTAACCCCAGAATTTAGCATTGTAAGTCTGTAGACTTACCACTGTCCAATCGAGGGGACTAAAGATTGATATAAAGAAACTTACTAAATAAGAACTTCACGTATAGGACATCTATGTCAATGTTATGTGTTATGAAAATCAAAACATTGCACATGCAGTACTTCCATTTTATAACACAAGACATAATGTAATGTATAGCACACTTAAAACTGAATAAACAATTAGATTGTAATATTTCCATATGTTACTTTGATTGTGCAACTGTTATAGACCCTCAAGCTTATCAGTATGACACCAGGTGGCATTTGTGCATGAATTAACAAATAACGCTAAAAAAAGAAAAAATGTGTTTAAGTAAGTAATGTTTTTTTATTTTCTGAGTTGGTTAGTTATGTTATGAACGGTTTCAGAACAAACTACAGGATATGTTTAACATTTAAAACTACATCTTTAATTTTTTCTTCATATTTATCAAGTAATACTTATATACTTTTGACAAATTATTAGAGTTTAACATAATCCAATGCTATTATTATAACAATACTGCTGACAAAACTGAAAATTTTCTCTTTCTCTATCACAGAAATAAGTCTTCAACTTCTTGAACTGTGTTGTGTATGTGAAATTCAAAACAATGAACTTTGGCTAGCCTTCTGACGTTCCCCAATGAGATTATTCTGATTAATGTTTTTTTAATGCTACATTGTCATACTGCACATGTACTTACACTTAACTCAAACTAATCTTAGTGGCTCCAGATATCTCCACTAAAAACTGTCTCTACAGCATTAATACGACTTAAATGTTTAAAACTGAGAGGAAAAAAATGGCTCTCAAAAGAATGTAAATATATATATATATAGTTGATCATCTTTATAACTTTTATATATGTTCTTTTAGACAGATATCTTCATGCTACTTACTACTGATTTAAACATATTGTCTATATTAATTTTATAAATGTCAGATCTTTCATTGTAACAAATTCTACAGCAATTCAACTAAAAGTCACAAGTGTTCCAAAAATACTTTTCAAATTAGTCCATTCCATTGGATGAATCAAAAAGGTATTTTTCATCTTTTTTGTTGTTACAGTTGTATTTTAGCATTCCAGATATGAGCTTAGAATGCATGTGTTTCTAAGTCATAAAAAATTCTAAAGCTTATTTGTTTATGTTTAATTTGTGAGCCATAAAAGAAAGTAGGTATTTCAAATTTATTTCATTTATCTTGTTTACTAGCCAAGTTCATAGTAATGTATTGCTGTTATTAGAATGCAGACTTATCGGATCTTTTCTATATTTATAACTCATACAATTTTCATTAAGGATATTTTCTAAGTAATTATCAAATAAACAATACAAATCTGATTGAGTTTAGAAATATACACAGAGAGAAATATAACTCTGACGTGAATCTACTCTTTGCAAACCATGATGTAAACTTTTAAAATTTTTGGGAGGCAAGAAGAATATGGTTTACATTAAATATTCACTGTATGCAATTAAGTTCTTGAACAAGGAGAAAAGTATCCAAATTAAACATTCAAAATTGTTTGCTATACTGTTCCTTTTTAATGCTAAAAAAGGGTTTCGCATATCATGCTTAGCAATCCATAAAAACTTTTAAAATTGTTTATAATTTGTCTCCATTTATACATATACATTTGGTTACAGGTTAATAGCCTACACCCATCACCTACAACTGTAAATTTATTTGAAAAAAGGTAGTCTGCCATGAAAATAATTAACGACGAGTAGTTTTATTTATCACACTTGTTAAAATTTACAAAAAGTACTCTTATTTGTTTTTTTAGAGAGAGATGATCTTCAACATATTCATAAACAAAACAATGATTAAGGTTTATATAAAGCCAACCTACATTCGTTAGAATAAATCAATTTATGGAATTAGTGCTTGCTCAAGATGGTAAACCATTCCAATACACTCACCTCTATTAATTCATCTCTCTGCCTTAAACTCTCTCGTAGAAATTCTATTTCTTCTTTAATTTCCTTAAAATCCCTATTTAGCTGATCATACGCCTGATGAAAGAAAGCTTTACCAGTAAATCAAATCAACTCATTGCACATTTAAAGAAGTCAAGCCAGTTGATTAAAGATTAATAATGCCTTAGATGTGACAGACAGTTTACAGGAAAGTATGATGTGGATATGTCACCTGAATATCATCAATACTGAAGAGACCTTATGTTTTTGCCTTTCCAATACTACAAAATTTATAATGTACACATATCAAGACATAAAAGTTTTCTCTTCCATATTGATTATATTTATTTACAGGTTATCAGTTACAATATCAGCAACCATCTTAACCCTTTTGCAAAAGGTACCCCTTTAAATCCTTTTCTGCGCATGTCAGTATGTTACATTCAAAACTTACTTAAACACCTTTACTATTAATTTATGTGAATTATTCATCTCGACACAAGTAAACGGTGCCCTCGAGGCATATTACAGTTACTTTGGGAGACATGCACAACCCTTTGGAAAATTTTCATTCACCCCTAAGCTTTGAGAACAGATGCAAAGTATGATGTATATTTAAAAATGTTTAAATCTTTCAATTATGTATTTTAATACATAATTAACTAAAATATAATAGTAAGACCTAAATACAATTTAAACTGTATCTCTAACTATAACACATTTAGGTAAGAAACAACCATAAGTGTTGTAGTCGATCAAGCAGCCAACAATACTATAGTCAGTTACATGTACACCGTGATGATAACTGCAGGTCAATTTCAAAATAACTATTGTTAGATTATAGTGTAAAATGAGCTCTTCCTAATGACTGTACACATGTATGTTACATCTACATGTAACCTATAAAGCTTGAATGTAACACGGTGACTTGTGCAGAAAAGTGTTTAAAGGGTTAAACTGTTTCTATCTGTGGACAAACTGACAATTAATTAAGGACATCTGAATTCTTAGAACAAGCAGAATACTGCATCAGCTGTACAACAACTGCTACCGTTACATCAATACACTATGAACTTTGAGTAACAAAATATAAAGCATTTTGTCAATGGTGGACAATTTTGCCATCTGTTGAAAGAGTAGAAAATAAAACAAAATATATAAAATACTATTATTCATGAGTTGAGTCAATAAGTTCATTTCTAACATGACCCTCGTTTGGGCCTTTATTAAAGACACTTTAATGTTTCAATAAAATGATAAAATGATTTTGTTGATATCCCTCTTTTGGTAGTCACTGTCTCATACAAGTATTTCAGTGTCTTCCCACATGAGGTGTTGAACAGTGGAACCTAAACCTTGAGAGTTATATAAAAAATAAACATCAGCAGAATATCTGATCATCAGAATCTTTAGCATTCTGTTTGTCTTGATTTTGATGTGTTGATAAATATGTTGTGTTTGTTTGTATTTTAGAGCAAGGTTTTTTCTTCTACTTTGTTTTTTTTTTATTCCCTCAATCAAAATAGTTTGGGGGTATAGCAATGGGATTATCCATTTGTCTACCCGTCCTTTTTTTTAGACATTTACTTTTGACATGATAACTATAGTTCTAAATAGTAGATTTAATCAAACTTCATGGGTCACTACCCTTGAGAATGGAGAAGAACCCTACTTGTTTTTTTTTGGTTTAAAAGCTAAAGGTCACCATTAAAAAAATAGAAACTTAGTTTCTATGTAGAAAGAAAACATAATCATTTTAACTTAGAATTGCAAAATATTTTTAATATTGACTTTTTAAACCAATTTTTCTGAACAATTTTTGCACTGAATTACTTGCTTGTGGGTCTAATAACTTTGTTGTTGGTTACAGGATTTCCAATATCATAAGTCACATGTGAAAAACATTTCAATAACAATATAATTAATATTCAAATTAATGTCACTAATTAGGGTTGAGGCCCCAAAGTATTTTCACACAGAAACTAACTACTCTACTAAATTTCTTTGATCAGTTCTTTACATTAAGTGTTGTAACTGGCAAAAACCATAAAGTCACTCAATTTGATGCCGGACTCACTGATAGTGAATACATATTTTGCCATAAAATTACATAAATAAACAATTGATTAGATGATTCAAAATTCCTGGTTAAATTCACAAATGCTTAAGTAACTTGACTCTTTGTAGCACTCTCTGAAAATTGACTCAGCATTTTGAAAATAATTATGATCACAGACATCTATATTATAAAGCAGCTGGTCTATATGGCTGTCAGTGATGAAAATTTTCTGACTTCCTGAACTCCTATCATCATGAAACTTTCAGGGTGTTTGGGTAAAACCCAAATCACTAGGACAGCTCAAAGTACATGTTAGATAATATACTGAAAATTGTTACACTAATATGAAGAAGCTGATGATACTGGTAAATTTCTAAAAACATTTATGCTAGTATTCAGTAGACTTACAAGATGAAGCCAATTACACAAGTACAACACTTTGTGTGGGAATATTTGCTTGTCTGTCTAACAGATTTAGGTAGGTTTACAATCCAGTTTAATTTCTATTGATAAGGTGTCTGAAAATATCTTTACAGCTTAAATGGTTTATAAAGATCTTTTTTTGGATGAGTGAAATTTATTCTTTCAAAATATAATACACAATTTCCCTGATAATCTGGAAGTCCTAGTGAGAGCTGTATATTACTAAAAAATGGATTTCCTCTGTCTTTCTATTTTTATTTC